TCGACTGTATTCACAAGTCAGGGAACTGGACTGGGAAGTGACCCTTAGTGCTATCTGTCCAAATCTACTATTGTCAATAGAGGAAACCGAGACCCAGGAAGGGAGTGTGGCCTGCTGAAGCTGTAGGTCAGTTAGTGCAAATCCAGGATTAGCACCAGAACTCACAATGCCCAGATCCGAGGGTCCTTGGTATGTCACTTACCCACAACGTCCACTGAGACATCGCAGAGGGCTGATGTAGATGTGTTCCTGAGCATGTCACAGGGCGAGAGGGACAGCGAAGCGGAGGAAAGGCCACCGAGATGGGATTAGGGGTCCTGGCTTCAAGCCCTGGTTTTTGCCCCTGACCTGCTGGGTGAGTACACTAGCTTCCTGAAGCTGCCAACATATTTCCACAAACTGGGTGGCTTCAGACAACTTGGAGAGAAATGATTCTCACACAGTTCAGGAGGCCAGAAGTCCAAAATGAAGGTGTCAGCTGGGATGGTAACTTCTGGCAGCTGAGAGGGAGACTCTGTTCCACGCCTCCCTCCTGGCCCTCGGCGGCTACTGGAAGTTCTGGGCGTTTCTGGTCTCGTGTACACATCAGTCCTCTCTCCGCCTCCTTCTTCCCTTGGCTTTCTCCTTCATGTGCCCAATCTTCTGCCTTTTTCTTCCAAGGACACCTCTGGTTGGCCTTTGTGTCTACCCAGGTGATCCAGAAAAACATCATCTCTAGAGTCTAAATTAACTAATCGGCAAAACTCTTTTTCCACATTAAGTCACATTCCACAGACTCCAAGGGTTAGGGTGTGGACATATCTTTTAGGGGCTACTATTCAACCATTTATGGTAACCTTGGGATGTCCCTTTCCTCTCTGTCCCTTAGTTCCCATCTGTAAAACAGTGAGAGTGGCACGAGCCCACTTACTTGCTATGGTTCTACAAGTGTTTGCTGGTCGTCACAACACTGACGCACCCCCAAACAGGCACGAACCCAGAAGCCGTGCCAGGCTGATTGTGGTCCTAAGCAGTCATGTATGATGCAAATTGAAACGGAAGAAACATTTCTTCACTCTCAAATTTCTTTTTGCTATATACTTTTAAAAAAATAATTACTTGATTTAATTTTATTTAGTCATTCTTTTTTTTTTTTTTAAATTGACCAGACACACACACACACAGAGAGAGAGAGAGAGAGAGAGAGAGAGAGAGAGAGAGAGAGAGAGAGAGAGAGAGAGAGAGAGAGAGAGAGAGAGAGAGAGAGAGAGAGAGAGGGAAAGTGAGAAAGCAAGCCACCAGGTCTGAGACTCATACTGTGGTTGGCCATGTGGGAGTTTCCAGCTCCTTAACCATCATGGACCTGCTGGTCCCCTATATATATATTTTTTTTTTTTGGAGAGATTTTTACTATAGGGTATGTGCACTTGCCAGAAAGACAGACAGAAATAAAAAAATCACTGTCCAAGGGGAATGCCCATGCCACAATCCCTTCTCCTCTGGGGATTTTGAGCATGCATGCACATGTGCCCAGCATGAGTTTCAAGCCTCCAGGTCTGGGACTCAAACCATGGTGAGTCTTGCAGGTGTCCAGCATTTTGCCCTCCGCTGTTCCTGGGCATATACTTCTGAAAGCTGTCTGGGGAAGCAGGCTTGTGGTCAGACCATACAGCACTGGGCACTGGGCACCACACTGTCAGGAAGGTAATGGTCAAGTGCAAGTGCAAGAGGCCAGGCTGAGAGTGGGGCAGGACTTAGACTAGGGTAAGGCAAATGCTGCCCTCACTGCAAGTGCAAACTTTAAGAGGAGCCGAAAATCTCAAGAATCTAGATAAAAATATTTTAATGCCATATTTTAAAACATCAAAACTATGTTTTGCATTAACTTGGTTTCTTTTTAAAATCATACATTATTTTTTTTTCTTTAGAGAGATATTTTTGCTATAGGGTGCATGCGCTCACCAGAGAGACAAAGAGACAGAAAGCAAGAAATCACCCAAAGGGATGGCCATGCCACAATCCCTTCTCCTCTATTCTTCCCTCAGGATTTTGGGCATATACGCACATGCACCTGGTGTGAGTTTTAAGCTGTGGGTCTGGGACTCGAACCTCAGTTGACTACATGGGAATCCAGCAACATAATCATTATGCCATCTGCTGGTCCTCTAAAATATTTTTAAAATTTTGATTCTTGAGGTTTTTGGCATCCCCTTAAATTGGACTCTTAGTCCCTGCCCTGGACCTATAAGTTACAATGTTCAGTTGGGAGAAGAGACTCCTCTAGGAATGTGGCAACCATCCCAAAATTTCTGAAAGACTACCAGGGGCAGAAGCGCTAAAGGAACTGAGCAGCCCCAGAGAGACAAGTGGGGGAAATTAAGAGAGAGAGAGTAAATCTCAAGGGCTGGCAGATGGCATGGTGATTAAGGCTCTGAACTCCCACATGGAAAACTGATGTTCGACTCCCAGACTTGGTGGCCTGCTTTCTCACTTTCTCTCTCTCTGGTCAAATTCAATAATGATAATAATAAATTAAATGAAATTAAATAATTCTTTAAAAGAAGAGTAAATCTCTGCTACAGGAAGATCTGAGAATCTGATGAGAGGCTGGACGAGAGGATATCTAGAAGCAGCCCTCTGATTCCAACAGACAGAGGCTGCAGATTTTCCTGTGTAGTTTCCATCACCCTGCAACCACAAGATGATGGAGAAATGCTCCTCTTGTTGCAAAACCTGCAGGTATTGGGTCTCCTTGACCTTGGGAAGCCATCCTCATGCCCTGCCTCATTCTGGGAAACTCGAGCAGGTCACCCACAACTATAGGGTGAAGTGAACAGCCCAAGGTATCACATGTGTGGACAGCAAAGGGGCAGGGGCCAGTCCTCACTAGTCACAAATGTAAAAAGAAAAAAGGGAAGTCAGTGTTGTTGCACATTTCCAAATGTTTCTTTCTAAACACATCACGAGAAATGATCTTCGTAGAAAGGTTCCTGCACACTGCTCCCACCCTAGTGCAGTTCCCACCCTGAATGAAGACCATGCTCCCTACGATACTCTTCCCTACAGTTCCTTTCTGGGCCTTTCTCACAGCATCTCACGGCACTCCAGCACTGAGCTTCACGGGTCCCACGTGTCATCATTTATGTCTTTGGTCTTCCTGAAGGGTTTCAGTGTAGTTATTGTACTGTCTGCCTGCATGATTTTTTTCCCCTTAATTTTTGTGTTTTTCTCAAATTTTATACTATTTTAAGTTAAAATATAGAGTATTTTAGTATTTTAAGTTAAAATACAGAGTATAGCTTCAGCCAAGAGTCTTAAAATTGCAAATTTTGACACCTTTAAGAATAATACTTGGGTCAGCTCTGTGACCTGGCAGTTAAGGCAACTGGATTCCACATGACCAACTGCATGGTTCGAGTCCCAGACCCAGTAGCTTGAGAAACACACCAGGTACATGTGCATGCCTGCCCAAAATCCTGAAAGGAGGGAGAAATGGATAAGGAATTGTGCTGTGATCATTCCCCAAGGTGAGGGGTGCTTTCTCCTTCTCCCTCTGGCTCTCTGTTTCTCTGAATTTCTGCAGCAAGCACATGCAACTTCTGGCAAAATTAAAAAAAAAAGCACTTAATGAAACAAAATGAGTTATTCCTGATCATTATTCAGTATATCAAAACAATTTATATATGTATGCATTCATTTTGGATGGAAATAACTCTTTCAATATTTTCTAACCAGGAACCAGTATGCTCTAAAGAGTTGTTTACAAATTATGTCCTAATGATTTGCCATTTGGGGACAAATCAATAAATCACTTTGCAGAGTTGGCTCTGATTGAGATGAAATAATGAGTAAAATTTTCGTGTGTGTGTGTGTGTGTATGTGTATATACATTTACTTCATTGTAAAGCCGTTCCTTTTTTAAAATTTTATTTCTTCCATGATCAAGAGAGACACAGAGATAGAACACCTTACAGGGTCTTGACACTGATTCATTCTCAGCTTCAGCCAGTCAGATCATGGGCACACACACACTCAGGGAGGTCTCCTGATATGAACCCAGAACCTTTCCACATGGGCCGGCCTTGCAGAATCGCATTTCACTGCTGTGCCACCATCTAGTGCCTAGAGCTATTTCTTTCAATGAAATTGGGTCTCTAAGCACCCTAACTACTTGAATGCTGAGAAGGCAAGAACTATGCGCACGACTGTACTGAATTTTTGCAGGTGGCCAGAACTGAGAGACGGATGTTACCATTTTCTCCAGGACTGTCAGTTGATTTTTGATAATACTTATACTGGTAGAGAATGATATACTTCGGAAATAGTTTTACATATGCCATATTACCTGGTCCTGGCAACATAAGAAAAGCTGGGCAGGTTCTAGTAAGCCCCGCTGGAACATTTGTGGTCTCTGAGGACCTAAGCACTCTGCCCTAGGTTCTGCTCCCTGTGAGAACACCACCACGGTGACAAGCATCATGCCCGCCACTCTGCACAAGGGGCCGTCAAGCCTCCAGATAACTCCAGAGGAGGGGATTTTTACCACTACCATGCAGATCCAGAAACAAAGTCTTGAGGAAGCCACGGTTACGGTCACACAGCTGGTGGACAGCAAAACTGAGGTTTGACCAGTCTGACTGGTCTACACCACATTTTCCAAAGTCTACTTAAGGGGTCTTTCCTCTCCTCCAGGAGAGCATTAGCAAGACTAAGAAATGACATTCCAGGTCAAAGAAGGATCTAAAAGGCCCTGCAGTTGGTGTTGCAGAAGTCAGGACCCCACCTCTCACATCTACACTGTGTTAGGTGTCTACAGAGTATTTTCATCTCGTTTGATTCTCACAATTCCCTAGAAAGTCATGCAGTGAAGGGCTGACTATTCTCATCTAACAGGTAAGTGAGGCTCAGACAGGTCAAGCGATTTACTCCAAGTCACACAGCAAAGGCCAGAACAGGATCTTCACACTTCCAGCTAACATCATCAGCCAACATGATCAAAGGACTTGGGCCTGAGGACTCACCTTTCCTGAGATGGTCTTGATCTGCTTGGAGCTCAGGGGCTCGAAGTCCACACCGATGTAGCCCTCCATGGCGGCAAGCAGGTTCTTCCGGAGGCAGCGGGATGAGTTGGCTTCTGTGTGCACCTGTTCCCACCAGGAAGGCTCGTACCAGCCGGGGATGATCCACTGGTACTTGCTGCCATACATGTTCTCCTCGTAGGCCTGCAACAGAAGAGGGGGCTATGAGACACTGAGACCAAACATGTGCCTCAGGTCTGTGCGCTGTGCGAAAGGTGGAGGGAGGTCAGGCTTCCTCTCACCAGAGGACTGATTCGTTCTCTGCTATTTGCTTTGCCTCTTCCTGGTTAGTTCTCAAAAGAGCCAAAGTAGCTTATGAACAATGTGTATAATAAAATGATAAACATTAAGGAAAAATTAAAACGTAAGGGCCTGGCAAAATAGACTCTATTACAGAGGATTGTCTGGAGAGCAAAGGTTCCAGCCCTATATATAATGAAGCTGCAGGTTTCACCATGAACTTCCTGGCAGCCCAAAGGCAAAGGGCAACAGAATTATTTACAAAGCTCTCAATATCAACAAGGAGAGAAACGAAATGTTTTCTAGTTTTTCAAAACAATGCCTCATATGGAGGAGACTGTCAGATTAGCCAGCATGGTATCAACAGCATCCCTGCCACAAACAGATTCCATAAAATTGTTTTTGTATAGATCTTTACTAGAAGCTGAGCTCAAAGCTCAAACCCGAGGGGAGTGATCTTCAAGGCGCCAAGACAATTCAATCTAAGTGTGCAGTGTATATGACACCACTCGGCAGACCAAAAGTCTCTCTGAATCTTTACCCCAAACACATATATGTCAATTCAGGTCCTAAAAGATAAAAATCTCTTACATGTGTATGCTTTACAACACATCTTATTGACTGTCACTCACATTCATCCTGGGAGGGGGTCAGAGCAGGGTTTAGTCCTCATTATGGAGATGAGAAAACTGCAAATCAGAGAGGGGAAGTAACTTTTCCAAGGTCACTCAGCCAGGGAGGAAAGTCACACCTAGACTGGGTGTCTGCCGACCCCCGGACAGCAAAGCCAAAGCCACATCGCTTGCTCCTCGTTTATGCAGAACCATCACTGGAACGGTCTAAGATTGGCTTTAGTTCTTATTGCAATTGCTTTATATCAGGAAAAGCATGCTTTTCAACAGCTTAGATTCACACAGAAAATCTCACTTTGTAGGAATGTCATGCTCCAACAGCACTGGGTCAGAGTAAGGTTTCTAAATAGGGTCATGCCCCCCCCCCAATAATCGAAATGCCCAGCTGTGACAGCAGGGGGCAGAGGTGCACAGAAGTGGCCCCTGCACCCTGTGGTGGACTATGCACACTGGAAAGTGTGAACCTTTGACAATCCGTCAAGTTGTTCCTGGGCAGCAGCTGACATTATCGGGACACACTGGAAAACCATTCACGCCAAATCCCTTGGTGTTCCTTGGCCCAGAACAGGGACAGCATGAGAGACCAGAAGGACGTGGAGAGAGGAGGTGGAGGGGTTACTCTGGACCCAGGGAGGTTCTGCAGCCCTCTGCTTAGGCTCTCGGGGGTTATACTATGGTCTGTCCATGGAAGGGGGACACAGTGTTCCTAAGAGCTTTGGTACTGAGAAGTTACTGCCAATTCTGAGCTGGAGGAGCACTTCTCTCATCCCCATGTCTAGGGAGGTGACTCTTTTAAAATTCCCTTAAGACCCAAGAGAGCCCAACCTACAGGGTGGAGCATTTCATTGAGCTAATAAATGTGAGTTAGGAGGTCTGTCCTTGACTAGGCTCAGATTTCATCTCTGTGGCCTCCACCCACTGGTTCAGTGAGGTCACTGGAGATTAAGAGGACATGGTTTGGGACCAGCAGTTAGTGTAATGGCTATGTCGCTGGACTCTCATGTAGTTGACCGTGGTTCGAGTCCCGGACCCGGTGGCTTAAAACTCACAGTGGGTGCGTATGCATGCGTGCCCAAGATCCTGAGAGGAAAATGGAGGAGAAGGGATTGTGGCATGGCCATTCCCCCGGGGAGTGACTTCTCTCTTTCTGTCTCTCTGTCTCTATCTGTCTGGCAAGCGCATGCGCCCTATAGCAAAAATCTCTCCAAAAAAGAAAAAAAACGGATCAGGTTTAATACAAGAGTCTTTCAATTACCTCAAGGCAGTGACCACACAGCCTCTTCCCTAAACTCCTCCAGCGCTAT